GGCAACACATATCATAAATAAACTGCCCACAGCCATACTTAACTGGAAAACCCGATATGAAATCTTGCATAAAAAATTGCCTACCTATCATAATTTGAAGGTTTTTGGGTGTTTGTGTTATGCCACTAACACAAAACCGTTTAAAGAAAAATTTGCACCAAGAAGTTTCAAGTGTATTTTGTTAGGCTACAACACAGGGCAAAAAGGTTTTAAATTGTTTGATCTCATCAATAAACAAGTTTTTGTGTCTCGTGATGTTATTTTCCATGAGGAGATTTTTCCTTTTAAAGAGTGTTCTAACCTCCAGCCACATATACCTTTACCTGTGTGTGTTTTGCCTTATGAAGATGACTCATCTGTGACTGCTAACCTTGATAACCAAAGTGTTTCTCAGCCTCAAACTAATAATTCTTCTGATGTTAACCAACCTGCGGCTACTTATCAATTCAGTCAAGACAAGGTTACTCAATCTGATGATACCTCCTTCAATCAAATTGCCCATCACCAGATGATTCCTCCTACTAGAAAAAGTGTCAGACAGAAATCTGCACCTATTTGGATGCAGGATTTTGTGAGCAATTTATCCTACTCTTCTTCTATTCCCTTGTCTAATACATTGAAATCCTCTTCATACACTCCAAATACATATCCTTTCTATAAATCAGAAAATTTTAACCCCAGTTATCATCATTTTCTGGCTAACATATCTACAATCCAAGAACCAAAATCCTATAAAGAGGCTAGCACAATGACTGAATGGGTTCAAGCTATGGAAAATGAAATTGCAGCTTTGGAACAGAATAAAACATGGGAGATTGTTCCACTGCCTTCAGGTAAGATTCCCATTGGTTCTAAGTGGGTTTATAGAGCTAAATTAAAGCCTAATGGAACTCTGGATAGATGTAAGGCCAGACTAGTGGCGAAGGGATATAATCAGGTGGAAGGAGTTGATTATGTTGATAGTTTTTCACCTGTGGCAAGATCAGTGACAATCCGATTGTCTTTCTCCATTTCATCTGCTAAAAAATGGCCTATATATCAACTGGATATAAATAATGCTTTCTTGCACGGTTTTTTGGATGAGGAGCTTTATTTGTGAGCTCCAAAAGGTTACACGCGAGTTAAGGAAGGTGAAGTGTGCAAACTTAAACGGTCTCTTTATGGTTTGAAGCAGGCTAGTCGACAATGGAATTCTGAATTCTGTAAGCATTTACATTTATATGGTTTTTCCCAGTCTGCACATGATAATTGCCTTTTCGTACTCCGATCAAACCACGCTATCACTGCCCTCCTTGTTTATGTGGATGATGTCCTCATTACTGGAACGGATGATGCTGAAATCCAGAATGTCAAGCATTTTCTGAATACTACTTTTACCATTAAAGACTTAGGCCTTGCAAAGTTTTTTTTGGGGATAGAGATCGCTCGTTGCTCAGATGGTTTATACCTTAACCAAAGAAAATATGCTATGGATATCATTACTGATGCTAGCTTGATGGGATCAAAGCCTGTGGATATCCCACTGCCAAGAGGATATAAATTCACAGCTGATGGTGATGCTTATCAACAACCTGACCAATATCGCCGGCTTGTTGGTCGCTTGTTATATCTTAATCTTACACGACCAGATTTATCTTATGCAGTCCAACAGCTGAGTCAATTCGTAAATTCACCAACCACTTCACACTGGGAATCAGCTTTGCACTTATTGCGATATATTAAGGGAACTATGTCAACAGGCCTTTTCTTCCCTTCCTCTAACAGTTTCAGATTGGCAGCTTACTGTGATGCAGATTGGGCCTCATGTTCAGATTCTAGGAAGTCTCTAACTGGTTACTGCATATTTCTAGGTGGCTCTCTTATTTCCTGGAAATCGAAGAAGCAACAGACAGTTTCAAGAAGTTCTGCAGAGG